CCTTGGTGTTATCAGCACCGCACTCTCCCGAGTGAGCCACAGGCCGGCCCCAAAACTGTGTTTAGACAGGATTCAGAAAGTGGAAGAGACCCAAGGCTGAGGGCAGGAGCCCCTACAACTCAGGAAAACGGAACACAGATGGGAAAAGGGCACCACTTCAGGACGCTCGACTTCCTGACAGAAGACCATCACAGCAACACCCACAGGGCACCCCCTTAGACACAGTCCTCTTGGGCAGTGCACAACGCACGACTGCATGGCAGTCCTGTCCCTGTACATAGGCAATGGCAGATCACTCACTGTCCGGGGCCCAGAGGTCATAGAAGGGTCGCTCAACAGTGTCCTGGGTCCCAGTCTTGGGCTTGGCCGTGGAAGGGCTGAGGAGCCGGGCCTGTGCCCTGCGCACCTCCCGGGGCAGCTCGCCCTGTTTCACCAGCTTCTCCCATAGCTGTTCCTTCCGCCTGAGTTTCTTGGCGTTGGGGACCTGGTGGGCAAGGATGCTGCATAGGGGAGAGGCAGCAGGAGTGCAGTGGGTGAGGTAACAGCCTGAGAAGTGGCGAGGCCTCCTCCCAGTCAGGCTCACCCCCACCATTCATGCAGTTCCATCTCTAGTACCTCCTCTCCAGAAGGTACTCCTCACCATCCCTTCATAGATATCCTCTCCCCAGGGCTGTCCCCGGCCCAGGCTTCCTCTCCATCCCCAGAGTCTCCAGCTTGAGCCAGACCCATTCTCACCTGCCTTGGCCTGACACCCAGGGTACCAATCTCACTCCCTCCGATACAATCTTCAAAGCCCAAATCTGACACATACACACATACCCCATGACCCTCACTTATCATTCTCTCTCTCACATACACACACACACGCAGGAAACCCTTTAGGGCCAAGGTCTGGCAGGAAATAGCAGTCTGGGACTGTTTCAGTTGTCATTCTCATGTTACAACTCACTCTTTGGGGGCAGGGATCTTGGATGTGTTCTCAAGGATGAGGTCAACCCGAAGGGGTTTCTTGAGAAGCAATGACTTCTTCTGGACTTTGGTCCTCTTCTTCTTCAGCTCTGAGAGTCAGAGAAAGGACTCAAGGCCTCAGGCCTCCCCACTACCAAAGATCAAGCCCCGACAGCCCTCCATTTCAGCTCCACTGGAGCCATCAGACCTGCCATTCTAAGTCATCTCAGCACAGCCTTGGAGGTCCCAAGGCTGACCCGGACTCCCACACAAGGAAAGAGGCCCCCAAGGGTAGGACCAAAGGTGCCCAAGCCCTGGCCTCCAATACCCCCATGTCCTGGGCCAGCAGGAGGCAGGCCCTGTGCCAGGGACACAGAGGGAGTCACACCCACAGCCCTGCACATGAGGGGCTCCCAGCCACAGCAGGGGAACGGCCACAGAATGAGAAAGAGAGCAGGCACTCAGGTGAAACAGAGGCCCAGGGAAGGCCAAAGAGCTGGACTTGGGAGATCCAGGACATCTAATTCTCAGCACTGCATTCTCTGCTTTTTACTTCTAAAGCAACTGTTAACCATTAGAGTTAAAAGCAATAACTCTAGAACAAAACATACTAGGACAGAATTGTACCACTCCATGTACTGTGAGACCTCACACA